TTGTTTGATAACTTTCTTATTGGCAGGTTTGTTTTAAATTTTATTTAAAATTTGTGTTATAAAATTTTTTGGCAGAATAATTTTATATGATGAAAAAAATTACGACGGTCTTCCGACGGTAAATTTTTATGGGGAATTTGTAATGCTGATATTTAACAATATTTAAATTCTTAATTTTTTTTTTTTTTTTTGGAGAATATTTTTCGAAGAAAAATGATTTAAAACTTGTTTAAAACAATTATTTTACAGGTATAAACTGTCCGAGAGGTTCACGTCCAGGAGCAAAAACAAATAATCAACAAGCACCATCCATGGTGCCCGGGGAACCGTATGGTGAAGAAGCTCTTCAATTCACTAAGGAAAAGTGTATGCAAAAAGAAGTTGAAATTCAAGTTGAATACATTGATAAAGTCCGCGGAAACTTTATCGGCTGGCTTTGGATAGACGGTGTGAATCTGTCTGTTGCCCTTGTTGAAGAAGGTTTAGCATCCGTTCATGGATCAGCTGAGAAATCCGAACACTACAGAGCATTGAAAATGGCTGAAGATGCAGCTAAAGCCAGAAAAGAAAAGGTAATTTTTTTTTTTTTTTTTTTTTTTTTTTTTTAAATAATAAAAAAATATTCCTGGGTTTTTTGAGAGGAGTTCTCTATATAGAATTTTTCTTGATGCACGCAGGTAGATTAAAATACGAGAGTCCCGTGCAAAACGATAGTTACTAAACTTGTATTTGCTCCGTTTTACTCTTGTACAATCCAAAAAAATTTATTAAAGTGCGCAAAAGTGTACAAATTTGATATGAAAATATGACGGTAAAAAATTTTTTTTTTTTTTTTTTAGATTTGGAAAGATTACGTTGAAGAAGTTGAAAAAGAAGAAAAACCCGAAGATGAGCCAATGACGGAACGAAAAATTGATTATCAAACTGTTGTTGTTGTTGAAGCCACATCAGATTTGAGATTTTATGCTCAAATGGTTGACCAAGGGCCTAGATTAGAAGTTTTAATGAATCAAATCCGACAAGAATTTCAAACGAATCCTCCACTTCCAGGAGCCTACACACCTAAAAAGGGTAACCCACCCCTTTTTTTTTAATTTTACTTTTTTAAGTTAAAATAATTATATTTTTAAAAAAGAGGGTAAAATTAAAATGAATAAAAAAAATTTTGCAGGTGACATTTGCGCTGCGAAATTTGAAGATGATCAATGGTACAGAGCCAAGGTTGAAAAAGTTACAAACAAGGAAGTGCAAATATTTTACATCGATTACGGGAACAAAGAATCTACCACTCCTGCTCGTTGCGCTAATCTTCCGTCTAATTTCACAACTGAAAAGCCTTTTGCTCATGAATTTGGATTAGCTTTTGTAAAGCTACCTTTGGATGTAAGTTTTAATGACTAATTTTTTATAAAAAAAAAAACCAAAATGGATTTTGACGCGCATGTTAAAATATTGTTTGTTTTGCAATCAGGTTGAATATCAAGAAGAAGCCGTGAAAGCTTTCAAAGAAGATGTCGAAGGAAAAACTTTATTGCTAAACGTCGAATACAAAATTCAAAAATTAGCCTATGCAACTTTGACTTGTCCCAAAACAAAGGTTGACATCGCCAAAGAACTTATAACGGATGGATTATTATTGTTGGATAGCCGCAGAGAAAAGAGACTGCAAAAAGTGGTAAGTGGTTTTTTAATTATCATTATCATTATTAAAAGGAAAAAATTGATTATAAATTTTTGTCACGTTTTTTTTTTTTTTTTTTTTTTTTTTTTTTTTTTTTTTTATTGTCTTTATTAATAGGTGTCTGAATATCGCTCAGCACAGGAGGAAGCAAAAAAAGATCATCGATTTATTTGGCAGTATGGTGACATAACAGAAGATGATGCCAAAGAATTCGGTCGTTAATCAAATGTTGTAATAATAATATTACGTCACCCAAAATCCAGTAGCCTAATTTGTATTTTTTTTTTAAAAAAAAAAAAAAAAAAAACTTTCCTTTTTTT